CATCGGACATGTTCTATTTAAACACATTTTTAATGGACCTATTAAATGAAATTCTATTGTCTTATGTTTCAAAATTACAAACTTCCATGTACGAGAATTTGTTATCGTTTCATATCGCACGACAATAAGGGCCAGTTGAATTATATCTTTAATATTAAAGTGTGTTTTTGTGAAATACATTTTCTAAATCTAAATTATATATTATATAATTTTAAAGCCCAAATGTATGTTTGGGTTGATGATGAAAACGACCTGGATATTTATAATATTTTTAAAAACCTAAGAAGACCTAGACATTGATAAATAGGTTTAGGATATCATTTATAATTTTATCCTAAATGTTTACCTCAAAAGAATATTTTTATTTAAAATTCAAATTCAAACATCTTTTAGGTCGTGTAAAAACTATCAAATCTCAACACAGATGGAAAAATTTTAATATCAAAGGTGGTATAGAGTTGGTCACAAATAGTTTTTGTAACGTGATCTCTAGTTATTATATCTACTTGTTTAATGTGTTTGAACTCAATTGATTGGGCGTGGGTTAGGTTATTAAATAACTCGAATAACTTTGAAAAAGAAGTTGGGCACCACTATATTTAAAGCATACTATACTTGATTTTAGATTATTGATAAAAATATAGAAAATCACTAACCACTAACAAATTATATTTTAACCATGCTTTAGATCAAATTCTAATTCACATAGTTTTACTAAATTCAAATTGTAAAAGAATGTAATACAAGGAATGTTTCATCGCATGGTATATCCTCAAGCAACTTCCTCAAAGGGATTCGGGATCCTTATTCGTAATTCTGCAACGTGAATAATCTCGTGATATTTGGTATTCTAACTTAAACTCGAAACTGTCTAGATCTTCTAGAGATGAATCAAACCACGGTCTTCAGATTGTACCAAAACCAAAACAAACTTCTAGGTATAATAACCATAAAACATCTTGAGAGGAATTCAAAACCGTCTAGATATAGCCATGCTAAAAAAGGGTTAAAATGTTAAGACAGGAAATAGGAAATTTTAACAGGATTGAGATAAAATGCTTTAACTATTAAATGAACAATTTAAAACTATTAAATAAACAATTTAAAGCTATTAAATGAATAATTTCACAGAGACTAAAATTAGTATGAAAAGGAAAAATCTTATTTAATATATTTAAACATAGTAAAGCATAATATCTTGTTTCAAAAAAATAGTATATAAATTAACCATGTGTTTTACTCATTGTTGATAGGATTTGAGGTTATGTTCAAAACTTGACAATTTAATTAAGAAATCCTTGTACAAAATATTTATTTTCAATAATATATCATTATTAAAACTTACCTTATAAAATCAGATGGCTATTAAGAATATTAAAAATCATCTAATACATAGGATGACCTAGATTAAAATGAATTTGATCTATTTGATATCTTCAAAATGAAATGAAATATTAACTTTTGACACAAGGCATAAACGACAAATGACATTTGATTAAAGTGATTATGTCGAAATAACGAATAACGGTTCCAACCGTTACAAACTGAGTAAAGGGGTTCCATGCATTCGAATGGGTTAGCCCTAGGACTTTCTCTTCCCAAGTAACAATTTAATGCGACGACGGGTTTAAAAAAGTTGCGCAACCAAACATAGGTTGCGTGGCCGACCGTAACACGACGTTGTCACAACCCTGTTTTGCACTAATTTGGCCAATCATTTTTGGGTTTTTAGAACGTTGCAGATTTTACTATAGTCGTTTCCTAAATGTTGCTAAATTTAATAAAAACAACTACAAGCTGCGCCCTCTCGCTCAGCGTAGACAGTTTACTTTTCGTTTGTTTACGTCCCAAGTTTTAGTGGTTAAAGGCCGACTACGCGTACTAAGATAATTACACTTTTCTGTTCTTCTGAAGGTCCCGATAAAGGTCGCTGTTTCTAATGTACCAAGGAGCATCGACAAAGTTCCACAATATTTTGTTCTGGAATCTCTAGATTATTAGAATATTATTGTAGCGGGCACAACCCAAGAACTAAATGCCATATGTCCAAATTGGTTTGAGAACTTGTCTGTATAATAGAATTTTGTTATATACTCGTAGGCTGAAATGCCTACCAAGTAACTAGTACATTTTTTTGAATTTTACATCTAACTCTTATCTTTTCTTTTTAACAAGGTCATTTCAGCGAAGTCTTGTATCTAACGTAATACCTAGATATTTTGCCGAGTTAGCATAAGTGACTTGGGCATTATTTATGTTAATTGGTGTTATTTGACCATTTTTGTTAGTAGAATTAATATTAATAGATTTGGTTTCATTTAGTTTAATACGCCATCTTTTGGTCCAATTATTTATTTGATTAACTGATGTTTTCAGTTTATTTGCAACCTCTTCATGATCTTTACCTATCGCTAGGATGGAAATATCATCTGCAAATGTAGCTATTGTGTCACAAGTGTATAACAGATGCAAAGTGGGTCCCAGGACGCTTCCCAGCGGTACTCCTGCTTTAATTTCTTTCAATTCAGAGTATGCTTTATCTTGTTTTACTCTAGAGAATCTATCTGAAATGAATGAATCCAGTAGCTCTGTAGATGGCTGTAGAAGTAGTACATTCAATTTATTACATTACATTCAGTTTTTTAAGCCACCACTTTCTTAAAAGCCTGCGTAACATCGAGGAAGATGGTTTGTTCTGCCAACAAAGAACTTCGACTTCTTTGTTTTCTAATGCTTTTTTAATCGCATTTGTTCTATGAACCTGATCTTTAGTTGAATGGTTTTCTCTTAAGCCGAACTGATAATGTGAAATTAGTTTTCTTTCTTCAATGATCGGTTTCAGTTTTTTCATTACGATTTTTGATAAAAGTTTCGGTATTATAGTCAATAGAGATATTGGCCTATATGCCGAAACTTCGGTTTAGGTTTATGGATCATAATGACTTTAGCTACTTTCCACAACCTAGGGAAATATCTTAGTTTGAATAAGGCATTAAACAGGTGTGTGAGTTTAATTATGATTTTCTTGGGAAGTTGAAATATCAGATGACTAAAAAATTTAATAATTTTCAACGTTCGTCACCCATAAAACTAATTTTTACCTGTGAATCTAGTGCCACCTATTAGTAAAGTGCTCCACCATCTATACCCAGTCTATATCTGCTGATTAGGCACCTTGGTGGTAGAGTCCGATTACAATTAGAAGAACACAACTACAGCATAACCATTACTTTAAATTTCGAATGCATATTATCTATTACTTTCAATAAACAAAAATTAAGTAAGTTGTTAGGTGTAAAACAATATTTCCTATATCCCTATAATATTAACACTCCATCAAACCCCCATTAGGCGGCGATAACCAATTAATTACTTTGCCAAATGATGACGTAGCTGTGTTCTTCTAATCGTAATGGGACCCTACGCATTCTGTTTTATGTTTTGTTAACCTCTTTTTTGAAGCACATGCGCTGGTTTATTTTTCTACTATGAATAAAGTGTTATAGTTTATTTAGTGTTATTTGGAAGTTTTTTTAAAACAAATTGCGAATATATTACAATATCCGAAGAGCGAATGGAGTTGGGTATCCGACCAAAAACTAAACGCAATCTAACTAACAAAATAGAAGAAGGCAATCTATTTAAAGGGTCGTTTCATTTTCAATTTAACACAGGTTTTGAAGATTACATATTGTTCCTGGTAAGGTATTTGTAAAAAAATGTATTTATGATTGTTTTCCTATTATTTTATCTTCTTATTTTAATAGATAGGATATATGTATTCTATTAGGTTAGTTGCAAAGTGGACTTCACAAAAACTTTTATTACTTAACTTAAAAATAACCCACTGCACGGTTAAATCTTTCAAAGTTAGTCGAGAAAACGTTTAACCTAACTAAAGTTGTCACTTAAATATTTTTAAAATGTTATTCCTATTTCCAAAATAATTACTATTTGTAGTTGGTTAAGTAAACGCTGTAACAACGTCCTAGTTTAACTAAAGACATGCTCAACGTTATGATGACGTTGTCCGGTGGTTTAGAGTGCATCTTTTCATAAATTCTGTATTCAATATGTGGTTAACGTAGCCAAAATGCTACTTGGGTCCAGTTCGTCCATTTTGACTCAGTACCTTTGGCAGTGCTCTTTGCAATGTCCAGAAATGGTTCTAGTCCTATAAATTCAGATTAGGTTCCTTTTTTAGTGAGCACGCCAGATTTTTCATTGCCCTCCGCACCGCTGTGATCCGAAACTCAGTGCAAAGTACCTTTGTTCCAAGACAAGTGGATTTATGCAGTTCCGAACCAGCTCTGAGTCAACTCGATTGGATTTCAGGGCCTTCAGAGCTGCCTGGCTATCCAAAAAGATCTTTATAGTCTTTTTATCGGGGGAAAATTAATCAACTCTCTTGCTTCCAATTATATAGAAATCGTTTCTGCTTGGAAGATCTTAGCCAGGGAGCTATATTTAAATGTCAACTCTTGGCTGCTAACCGAAAGCTTCTGCTCCTCCTCCTTTTTCAGTTTTGGAGTCGTCCGTGTACAGCGCATAGTCCGCCTGGGAGAGGGTTCTATCTCCCCTGCTCCTTACGTCTGCAACTAGCGAGTCTGAGAACATGCCGAGGATTCCTATGCACTTTGTCTTATCTAATGAATGAGATTATTATCTATAAAATATTCACCTGGTTCACATAAAAAAGTTATATTCAAAAGGGACGTTTACACAAATATAGGCACAAATAACAAAAATAGAAAATTGGTGAGATATATTTAGATATTATATGTAATCAAACCACGAAGTTTTAAAAAATACGTCTGGAAAATAAATAAATAAATAGTTTACGAAAACTATGCGAACTAAAAAAATCTGGATTATTTACTGTGGATAATTGTCACTTATTTCATTTAATATTATGGATTGTTCTTTATTCCCATGTTATCCTTTTATTGGTCTGTCTTATCAGTACATTTTTATATATTAACGTATTTCTTCCTTTTCAGGTTTCGGAAGGTTTCACTTTTCATTATTAACAGTATGCGGGCTGATATATTTGAACACGGCTGTGGGGATAACGATAATCTCTTTCGTACTGCCTTCAGCGACATGCGACTTCCAGATGTCATCTGCAGACAAAGGATGGCTTACTGCTGCCCCTATGTTTGGTAAGTAAAAAATTCATAAAATATTAAATAGGTAGTGAATCAGACTAAAATTTAAAATTGTACATAACTAAATAAAAGACCTTTAAAAATCGAGGAAAAAGCATCTATAAATTCATTATTGGTCCATAAATACAAATTTAGAGCCACTAAATGGCCAATGGACACTTGAACAGGTTGGATAATAAGTTTAATCTGTGAAGTGTGTATATATACCATTTTATATGTTATATGTTAGGAATTCCAAATACTTATTCCAGTTTATTGGAGGCCAAAGATTGTGCTGTACCATTTTCAGAATCTTTAATAGACAATAATGCTAGCTTTACTGCTGGCCGTTCGTAAACTCCGGTAGCAGTCTGTACCTTTGCCTTTCTGACCTGACCATCTTATGCTTTTGTAACTTCTATTACTTTTCTTTTAGGCCAGTTACACCATGGCAAGTCTTTATCGCAGATTATTACGATGTCACCTTCGTTTAAAGGTCTCGTTTGTTTAAACCATTTTGAACGGAGTAGGAGTTCTGGAATATGTTCAGCTACGAATCGTTTCCAATATCTTTTAGCAAATTGTTCCCTGTATAAGTAGTTACCTTTTAGTATATTTGCACTATCGTCTAATTGTCCCATTGGTTTTTCTACACTAGATGAACCTGACCATCTTATGCTTTTGTAACTTCTATTACTTTTCTTTTAGGCCAGTTACACCATGGCAAGTCTTTATCGCAGATAATTACGATGTCACCTTCCTTTAAAGGTCTCGTTTGTTTAAACCATTTTGAACGGAGTAGGAGTTCTGGAATATGTTCAGCTACGAATCGTTTCCAATATCTGTTAGCAAATTGTTCCCTGTATAAGTAGTTACCTTTTAGTATATTTGCACTATCGTCTAATTATCCCATTGGTTTTTCTACACTAGATGAACCTACTAAAAAGTGGTTTGGTGTTAAAGCTTCAGATTCTTCAGAATCTAATGGCATATAGGTGAGATGTCTAGAATTAACTATATTTTCTGCAACAATAAGACAACTGATAAGTAGTGGATCTGTAGGTGTTCTTGTTGGAAGAGCTCCGTACAGTGCAATTTTATCAGCTTTAACTAGACGTTCCCACGTCCCTGCCATGTGCGGCGATAGGGGTGAATTAAATTCAAAGGAAATCTGTGGAGAAACAAAGGATTTAAGCATTAGTTGAGGATCTATCTTTTGCAGTTCTTCTCGAAGAAGTCTTTCTTCTCTGAAGTTAGTAGGAGTTTTAGACGATGGATTCATTATCTGCATAAACTGCATAAATTTAACTTCCTCAGCTATGTTAAGGGCTTCTTGCAGAGTGTCAGCTATGTCTAATAAATCATCAACGTAATAATTTTCTATGATAGACTTAACAGCTCTTGGATACTGATCAATAAATTTTCGAACATTAAATTTTTTTACAAATTGTGCACAACTCGGAGAACATGTTGCTCCAAAAGTCATGACCGTCATGATGTAGGTATCTAAAGGTTTACTATTCTTATTTCGCCAGTAGAAACGCTGGGCATGTTGACCTTCGCTTCTAATTCCTACACGAAGGAACATTTCCTTAATATCAGCACTAAATCCTATTTTTCGTTCACAAAATCGGAAGAGTATTCCCAATAATGAACCTAGCTGATCATCGCCTTTCAAACGCATGGAATTGAGAAAAATTCCATCAACCTTAGCCGCAGCATCCCAAACTATCCTAAATTTACCTGGCTTACCAATGGAGAAACCGCCCGTGATTTTATTCATATAGATTGAAGTATTAACTTTTACTTTATGCTTAAGCTCTTGACTATATGCTCAGAGTATAACTTAATTTTTATTCTTATCACCCATTATTAACCGACTTCATAAAAGGAGGAGGTTCTCAATTCGTCGGTATATATATTTTTTTGTATGTTCAGCGATAATTCTTTAACATGATATCCGATTTCAATGATTCTTTTTTTGTTAGAAAGGGGATACCTCAGGGGTGGTTCCATATACATTTGGTTAAAATCTAATAATTGAATCCATGAAAAAATCCTCAAACTCTTCATTTTTTATGTATGTTTAGCGATAATTATTTACCACCTTGTCCGATTTCTATGATTCTTTTTTTGTTATAAAGGGGGTACCTTAGGGGTGATCCCATATAAATTTGGTTAAGATGTAGTGATGGAATGAATCTGCACGATTTTGAAGTCGGTTTTTTAAAATTACTTTTAATACTTGTGTTCCTTGACTAGTTCATTATTATGCATTCATTGTTTAGTTAAAAAATAAATAATGTATTATTAAAAACTTCGCATACTGTAGATTTCATTTCTTTTCTAGAATCCCAATTTCATGAATGCTGTTTATAGAGCTAATTATTGCTATCGTTTCGACGTCAACATCATAATTGATTTCAAGCCGAAATCCTTGAGATATTTATTACACGGCTCCTAAAAGAAATTGATAGCCCTTATTAAATTTCGACAGCTTTATATTGTGGCTTCTTAATTTTACTGAAATTACGAGAAACTCAAGAGTGACTGGTGCGTTTTTTAATTCGATTCGACTTTAAATTAAAAACAATATTTTATTTTTAGCTCTTAATTTTACGCAATGAATGTTGTACAGTAACCTCGTTTTCGATTAAAAGTTACTTTATATTAATAGGTACGTAAATTTTAATAGTTGTGTGTCGGATTCTATCTCTTTAATACAAATTACAAATCTGCTATTTTTATAAATCCATTTTTATTATTTAACTGTAATTAAAATCTTCGATTTTCCTATTTTTAAATTGCTGTAATTAAATTATAACTAATCTTAGTATGAAAATTAACTGAACTATATTGTGATATAAGTAGAATCGCAATCGACTAATATACAGGGTGTTATTGAAATACACGTACATATTAAAACTGGGTATTGCGCAGATCCCCACTGAATGTAGAAAAATATTATTTTTTAAAAATACCCCTTATTAAGGGAGTTATTAATTTTTGAAAATTAATTCTAAAACAAACGTACTTCACTGATATGTTGAGGATGACCTATATAAATTAGGTTTATTTACCTATTTTAAACATCAACAGTAATTAATATGCAAGTTTTTGTCAGATGATAAGAAAACTAGTCTTGTAAGAAATAACCATGTTGCCAAGATTTTCGAATTAATTTCTATTTCCGAAGACTGGTTTTTACTACCCTCGTTATCAAAAAACTAGAATATTTGATAAATGATTGTTTTTAAACTATACATTTTTGAAACTATAGATTATTAAAATTTTAGTTGATTTACGAATCTGGCTAACACGAGCGCGTCATTTCCAAGTTGGTAAAAAGTGTTGTTACGATTACTTTTAAATATTTTTTTACGATGTCACTATTTACGAATATTGAACTAACGGATATAGGGGTCTATTCTGTAATAATTCCTTTATATTTAACGGCCTTTAAAAATATTGGCGACCTTTAAAAATATGTTTGTATTCGTTAATTTACTTCTGTCATTATTTAAACAGATTTCTTTAAGATAGTCCTCTAATGTATTTTAAAGATCCGTTTAAATAATGACAGAAGTAAAGAAGAAAATATTTTTAAAGGCCTTTAAATATAAAGGAATTGTTACAGAATAAACCCCATAGTGCTGGTTTATGGGGCAGCTGGAGAAAATTCTCGGCAAGCACAAATCCTGTATCGCGAACGGTTTCCAAATCGGAGAATTCCGGACTGTCGTACGTTTATTTCAACTGTTCAGCATCTAAGAGACCATGGAAAATTTGAGAGTGTCAATGCAGATCGAGGGAGAACAAGAACACAAAGAACATTGGCGGCTGAAGAAGAAATATTGGAAGCTGTTGAAAACCGGCCTCAATTAAGTTGTAGAAGACTAGGTCTTGAAATTGGAGTGTCCTCATTTGTTGTGTGGCGGACACTTAAAGAACAAGGTTTACATCCTTATCACATCCAAAAAGTCCAGGCCTTATATCCAGGTGATGAAGAAAAGAGAGTGGAGTTTTGTGAATGGATGATTCAAAAATGTGTTGATATTCCTGATTTTCTAAAAATATTATTGTATACTGACGAGGCTTCATTCACTCGTGATGGCGTGTTCAATATGCACAATACGCATATTTGGAGTGATAAAAATCCTCACGCCATTAGGGAAACTGGGCATCAAAGAAAATTTTCAATAAATGTTTGGGCTGGCATAATAGATCAGTATTTAATCGGGCCTTATGTTCTCCCGAACAGATTAAATGGGCCAGGATATCTCCACTTTTTAGAAGATATTTTGCCAGTACTCCTAGAAGAGATACCGTTACAATTAAGGCAACGGATGTGGTACCTACTAGATGGCGCTCCTCCTCACTTTGATTTAAACGTACGGCAGTTTTTGAACATTAGATTTCCTCAAAAGTGGATAGGCAGAAATGGACCTACTAAGTGGCCTCCGAGATCTCCGGACTTAAATCCATGCGATTTCTTTTTGTGGGGTCACATGAAACAACTGGTTTATAATGAACCTATTAATAGTGTTGAACAATTAACCAATAAAGTTAATGCGGTAGCCGAGGAACTACGACAAAATCCAAGACTAATTTCTAATGTTCAAAGTTCTTTGGAAAGACGATTGCAAGTGTGTGTAAATAATAATGGACGGCATTTTGAACAATTACTGTAATAAACTTTATTTTGAATTAATTGGTTTTGCTACGGCAAGAGTGCAATTTCTATGGGTAAGTTCAATTTCGATTTATTTTACTTCTTTAAATATGGAAACTAGTAGGTCGGAAAAGGGGACTCTTCCCCAATATTTAAATTTTAGAATTTGAAGTTAAAATTGGTGCCAATCGTTTTTGGTCATTACATACTATTCCCCATTTTAATATGTACGTGTATTTCAATAACACCCTGTATATAATACTAATACTAATATATCTGTCAGATCAGGAAATTTCAGGTGTGGGTGCCTACATTATTATTTACGGGGTACATAAAATCATAA